ACAACAGGTCCTGAGAGCGCCGCGTGTCCGCCTTTTATTTCCACCCACAATAGACCAACACGCATGTCCTAACTTTAGTGTCATTGTTTTTAATTTGAGATTTCGTATCTACCGGTATATTATATTAATTTAGCTTGATCATCATGACCTAATGTACTATAAGTGATTATTTAGATTATGCTCTGCCATTTTATATATCCTGGGTTAGGAGTAGGGTTTATATGGGTCATAAAGAGGGTGGCTGTGTACTGAAACTGGAAAATCAATTCAGAGAATGCACCAGGTTGCCTGGCTACACAACTCTTTGGTGTGGGAGTTGTTATGAAGGGAAGGAAGCTTAAACTTAGCATTTTTTTATTTCATTTTTTGTCTGAAATGATTTAAGATTAAGAAAAAAAATTCTATGGCACAATGGGACATGTCTGTGGAATGATATAGGCCTAATTCAGCAAACATTCAGATATGCTTGATCTTAGTTGAGACCCTTCTCACTTTAAGGGCAATTGATGTGAACTTGCCAGTCAAGCTTTCCAACCTGGTACATCTGAAACTGATCTGATCGGCTCATCTTAAACCTTTTCTTTTTGTCCGTGATGCCAATTATATTCAATAAGGATGCCAATTACATTCAATAAAGAATATAAATTTTCCTACTAAGTTTCTGTCTGATAAATTATAGAAATTAAATATGCATGTATAATTTTAAAACTCAATAACTTGCAATATTTAATCAGTATTATATTTATACGAGAGCTGTATCAAGCCGCTGCCTACAGGCACAGCCATCTTGAATTAAAGCATTTTGCTGCTAAGCTACTGCTCATCCACTGTCTGAAAGCTGTACAGAATAAAATGTTATTTTGTATACACTCTGTGCATACAAACTGATAGTAAAAGTTGTCTTAGTCTATACCCAATTACGCAATTCTGGAGTCCGCATTATCCTTTTTTTTTTTTTTTTAGAAAATACTTTTTCCCATCTGGAGTTTCTGCAGGACAGCCTATTTTTAAATAAAGTATATGACTAGATACTTAGGTTTGGATCACATCTAAGCAGTACAGCTTTAGAAAGGTTGCCATTAGAGGTGGGGTCTTGGTTTAACTGTAGGAGAAATAACCATGCGGGATGAAAATGCTGCTATGAGGCTATTATACAATTTCTACTACAGTGTGTCAGTCTTTCAGTTAGGACTGTTAAAGAAACATGTGGAGATGAAGATGGCCTTTGTGGGCTTTGGCCAGGTTTATTGCCTGTGTTTATGCCTTGAACCACTAGGCAGAAAAAATATTATATTATAAATGAATATTATTGATAGAGCTAGAACCACTTTTGTCAGGGAGAGGTGAGATGATTTAATGCTGCAATAAAGAAGACAAACAGCAACAAGTTAATGAAGACACATGCAGAGACCTTTGATCATTTGGATGAACTTTTCCAGGCTCTCCAGAGATAGTTTGCAGGACATCTAATTGTTTAGTACCTCTACCCCTCCTCTCTTGGATGCACCTCCCAGTTTAATGGTTGCTCTCTCTAACCTGAGCTTATAGCTGTTGAAGTCTGTGACCTTGTCAGGCAGATCCCCTGCAGTTGACTGTTGAATTAAGCAGATAAAGTCCTGCACTAAGTGCCCTCACCTGGGGAATTATGTTCAGAAAAAAGCAGTGGAAGGGGTAGCATAGATGCTTCCACTTCATCGTTCAGTGTTTCAAAACAAAACGGATGGAGTTGCTGCTGAAAAGCAGAGACGACCCGGTAAGCATAGTGGCTTTCATTAAAGAAGCTTAAAGTGTTTGAGTGTAGAAGTGTGTGTGTGTGTGTGTGTGTGTGTGTGTGTGTAGGTGTGTGTGTGTTGCTGCACTAATGCTAGATGGCATCAGACCTTATGGCAGGCCTTGGATTTATCAAGGCTGTCCATCTCTCTCACTTCTCTCAGAGGGTCAGAGGCGGATTTGCTATTGTTTAAAGCAGTTGCAGCACTAAGTATCCAAGCATTACAGTCTGTAACATCCACATCTGCAGCTCCAAATTGATTTCTTCAAAAGGCCAGTTTTGACTTTATCTGATGTAATTTGCAATGGGCTGATGAAATATTAAAAGTCCATTTTTATTTTCCTTATTACTTATCTGAGTCAAATAAAAACTGCATAAGGATTTGGGACACATGCTTTGATTCCTAAATGAAAACAACTTATTTTTAATTTGTTTCTAAACTATCTTTAAAAACGAAGCTGTAGCCTATTTTTTTCTTCTTTGATAAGTTGAATATCAGCAGGCTGGGCATAAAGGAAAACCAACAAACGGAAAAATCTAATCACTGCTTGTGTGATTTTTGATAAGCAAATAGAACATCTTTATGATTAGATCTTGATATTTTTTATACAATGACTTAAAATATCTGCCGTATCATCAGTTTACATGGAAGTTGAGTTGAAACTGCTTAAAAATGAACTTAAATATTCTCCTAACTGTATCGTATTTTCTGTCCCCTTCCAGCTTTTCAGTCACACTTGATGTCCTTTTTCCCTCTGTCCATTCTCACTTTTTTTTCCCTGACACCCATTGTGAATGTAGTCTGAGAGCTTCCCTGCAGCTTTGCTGCTCAGCAGCCATCTGTTGAGGTTTCTGTGCCAGGCTCTGTGTGCCAGAGCGCATCCCCCTATCCAACCCAATCTTCTACCCCGGCTGTCGGCCTTCCTCCCCCAACAAACCCCTCATTGTCACACAAACTTCCAAGCGAGCTCACTTCGCTTGCCTTGTGTAAATGAGGGGAGCGAAGTTCATTTGAGTCAGAAAGCATCAGGAGGAGTCTATTATGTACACATTTGTCTTCTTTTACCCATCGTGTAATCCCTCACTGACCACCAATGTTGGAGTGGCTATATCAACATAGATTTGAGATTCTGAGATATCTAATGCATTAAACTGCTTTAAATGCATCTATCATTGATGTGAGCTCATGGTTTAGCAAAGGTAATGATGGATAGCAGCAGCAAGTAAGAGTTTGGACAAAAAGCAGGAATCACACTAAAATGATTGACTTAAGAGTGACTTATGATTATTTTTATAATACATAAGATGTATTTAGTAGGGATGTGGGGATATAAATGTCTTCTATATTGGTCAAAAAGGAGTCATTCATCCCTAAAAAAAAAAAAATTCTTTTTTTTCATGTTGGGCAGTTTCCTTATGTGTAAATCTTAGCAGTTTTACTATTTGTTTTGGTGTGGCTTAATTTCTCATCACAAAATAAAATGCAGTTTTGGGCAAAAATTTAAAAGGTTGCATTTTCCTGCTCCAGAAACTTATTGCTTTGATTTAAAAGTCATATTTGTTTTCCCTAGGGTTTTAGCTGTGATCTGCTCTCCACAACATTTGCTCTCTGATCATACTGAGAGTTGCATTAGCCAGATTGGTCTGTCATTGCTAATGTAAAAAGCTTTTTTTTTTCTTCTTTTCTTTCTGTTTTTTTAAAGAAAGAAAGTAATTAGTAAGACTGATTAAAGGTAGAGAAAAAACATCACTATTCAGGAAATACAGATATTCTAAAGAGGTTTTAATGAACCCTGGATCCAGTAGAGATTAAGATATAAGAAAATCCATTAGCTCATTGTTTATTAAAAGCATCAAGGTCACATATTAGTTTATTCCTGTAGCTGTTTTGTCAATATTTGTCAAAGTGTATATTTTCAGTGTTGAGGTGCCAAAAACACGACCATAGTACAGCAGCAGACTTCTAAAGCAAGCTGTTTAAAAGTACACAGATCAGTATTTTGTTGTTACTTATGCAAAATACTATTTGATTTTGAGGTGCTTTACTATCAGAAAATTATTGTTTTATATGCCTTATTTCTAATCATAAAAAAGTTAATCTCAGTGATTATATATTACATGTGTTTAGAACTAAGACCTTTAATTAAAGCCCTCCAGCTCTGAAAATAAAATGCTCATGGCTTAGATAGGAGGAATAAGGGTACTGTAGTACACTCAGCTTCTGTGCTTGTTGTATATCCTAGGATGCATCTTTAAATCCAGAGAACAAGCAGATCCTGCTGGTGTGTTCCAGTTCCTGCCTTCCTCGTTTCTCAGCAGTGCTCGTTTTGCCTGCTGAACAGGTTGCAGAGCCGCTTGTCTCCAGCTTTGAGGCAAAGCGGAGTCTCTCACAGGTTCTTTATCAGTAGAATAGCTGCAGGCGCCGCCCACTGATTTAGGGTTTCGATCCTCCAAAAGAAGTTTCCGTTCATCTAGTAACATCTGCTGGGTTTCACTTGGGGGGGCCCAAATATGTCGTCTCTGTGTTGCTGATATGCCGTTAATAAAACCATTTGTATCTGTGGTCAACTTTCTCTAATGTCAGCCTAAGATTAACCAATTAGATTTAGACTTCTTCCTCTTCCTTGAGTTATTTATAGATCTTAGACCTTACAATTTTTTTAACTTGTCAGAACTTGTTTAATTTTTCATTCCTTAGTCTTATAAAAACTGTTTCATATTGGGAATCCAGAAAAGGAGCACTAAATTGCATGGGCAAAAAAAAAAAAAAATGAAAAATAGTGTGCAATAATCAGGGGGGATTAGGGTGATCTTTAAAGAGTGAAGGTGCAAAAGTTAATATATGCAAACTGGTTTGATCTGCCCTATTTAAATGAGCAAGCATTGTGTATGCTACTAGTGTTTGATACTGGTCATAAAACGGGATGAATTTCTTATGGATTTTGACAATGATGATAATTATTGTTTGAATAATAATAATGATTAATATCATTGATGGTGCATTTCATCTCAAAGTGCTATAAAAATTTAAAAAACAATTAAAAAAAAGATTCAAATAACAGGAGTCAAATTGAAAATATTAATAAACATGTAAAAGCTCCCTCCAACCATGAAAATACCTCTCCTGCTACAAGTTAGAGATGCGCACTCTAACAACATGCCGTACTATGTGACATGTCTGTGAAGTGTGAGGAATTGCAAGATCTAATCTTCTCTCCTTTTCTTTCAGCTCAGCAGCATCAGTAAAGCCATCAACTCCACCGAGACACCTGTGAAGGAGAAACATGCAAGACGTATCCTTAAAACTATTTTCTTATTACAACCTTGGCATCATTTTAAAAAAGAGAGCATGAATAAAATACATTCAGTCTAAACTGATCTTTGCCCTCCTTAAAAAGGCAAAGAGTTCTGTAGATTTTAATCATTTGCTTTATTCCACACACCTAGCTTGAGTAAATGGCGATTAAACAGGCTTCTGCAGCATTTTATGGCATGCAGAAGAAAAGTGTTCATTTTCACCAGATGTCCTGGAACAGAAACATTTCCAAGTCATACAGGGTGGGGGTCCCTGAGGACCAAGGGTGTAAACTGCTGCTTTACAGAGTGATGCTGCATTTAATGCGTCTTTAAATTCTAATTTTTAAGAAGGGCATCACATCAAAGTTCACTGTGTTCTTACAGGTTTCAAGTTAGTGGGAGCTACTTATAGTCAGTAACTAGACTTATTACTGTTAGTAATACCAATTACAGTGCATTTCTCTCCATCTTTTGCAATCGAACGCAAAAGAAACAAGTAAGAGTGAACATAAACATTTGTTGTCATGAGTTTAGCTCAATGTTGTCTAGACTGGTCTGATATTTAAGTCTGGATCCTAACTTCAGGGAGAAATCCAGATAAATTCTGTCTGACTTCTGAAAAAAACAACAACACGAGCTCCAGGTTGTGTAGTTGGCATTTGTAATGTTATTAGAACCCAGATGACTTGATGCAGTTCACCTTTGAATGAAGACGGACAACTTTCATATGGTTTGTTATTGGAAAACAGTTGTTAGAACGTTATCGCAGAAAGAACAATTAAAGGTGCAGGCAGTTTGAAGGAATATTTCAGGTGTTTAAACTATTTTTCTACTCTTTATTTTATGGGAGCATCAGTATATAACAAAAGTAAAGAGTAAAAGTAAAGAGTATAATTTTCAATTTGATGGTAATCATATTAATTATTCTAAAGTAGCCTGTTTGATTGTATAAGTTTCCAAAAAGCTTTAGCTACATTTTAGTGCTAAAAGTATTGTATTTATTTACCTTTGTCATCTTGAGTAACCAATCTTAAATCAGTAGAATTAAACTGACGATGCTCCGCTTGTGCTGGGAGGACTTTCCACAAGGGTTAAGAGTGTATTAAAAGGACATTTTTTTATTTCTACCTTACTATTCTTCTGGGAGCTTATTTGTGAGGTTAGTCACTGATGTTGGATGCTATGACCTGCCCATAGCGTCCAACATCATCCTAAAGGTTTTCTATTGGGTTAAGGTCTGGATTCTGTTCAGGCCAATCAAACTTTGATCCATTCTTTGTGGACCTTTCTTTGTGCACCATTGTGCAGTTTTGTTGGCACAGGTAGGTGGGATTACTTAAGATTTCCCTAAAATAATTTCCAAGATGTCTTGTTTTGCAGAAACATTAGGAGTTATCAAACTAAGGGTTAAGGTCCAAGTATTTAAAAAGATCCTCACACCATAGTCCTCTCTGCTGTTCTCCTGGGAACTTCCAAGCCTAAACATGTCTACTGGATTGACAGACAGAAGGGACCGGTTTGTCACCCTAGAGAACACTGATCTAGAATCCCATAGCAGTGTGTTTTACACCACTGCATTCAGGATCACCCTCAGTAATCTTAGTATGGATGCAGCTGCCTGGCTGTTTCCAAGGAGCTCTCTACACACATTTGCTGAGTTAACCTTAGGTTTACATGTAGTTTGTAGGGCTGTAGTCACTGTTTCTGTGGAAAGCTGGGGACCTCTGCTAACTCAGAATCCCCTTAACATGATTGCATCGGCCGTCCTTCTGTCGCCCCCATTTCTTTATTAGATCACTTACAGTTGGATTTAAAATATATATTGTTGCATGGAAACATCCTGAGTGGATTTGTTGCACAAAACCCATCCTATCATGATCCAATAGAGGGATTTACTGAGCTTCTGAGTTTGATCCAATTTCCGCATCGCTCTGTCCTTGAATTTTATATCTTTGGTGGAAGTGATTGCAGCTCAATAATCTGGAATTAAGAGCAAATATTACTAATATAGTGACTGCTTAGAGCAATAATCTCTACCTTGATATGTGAATAAGCTCACTGTTCCATCTGTAAAAGAATATTTGACAAAGAATGTTGCTCCTATTAGCCTCATTTATTTGTTTAACAGTGTGCAGATATTAAAATTTGTTGGGTTTGGTAGGGGGACTGGATGATTTGTCTGAAACTTATTTGAAAGTACTTGTATTTAAAAAAAAAAGAAAAAATAATGGTTAAAACCATTCCTGTTAATAGTGTTGGTCAATTTCAATACAATCATCTTAATGTGTGACTTCCAAAAGTTCTCACCAAGTCCTGTGGGAGTATGTTTCTTCCTTGACATCATGACCAGGAATCATCTTGGGGACACACAGGGAGAAAGGGGCCTTCACCTTCTGGTCCTATGCTCAGGGTTTTCCTCTGGGCACCAGCTCCATTCTGTGCTGGAAGTTCTGCCACGTGCTGCACAAAATCCTGAGAGATGGCCACCGCAATGTAAGACAACCAGCACTGCTTCATTTGGTTCTAAACCAAAAGACAAACCATGTGATTGAGGGATTTGCAGCAAGTTTAATTTCATTTGTTAATTTAATCTTTCTAGGTTCTTCAAGACTGCATGCGGCATCATGGTTCTCTAGCTGAAGTTGGAAAACTGTGGGTGAGTCTAGTCATATTTTTTTCTTATCTTAATGTTTAAAGTCGTTTATTATTAAATCCTAATTGTTTCCCACTGGTTTTGTTTTCAGAGCCACCTCCACGACAAATATGGACAACTTGTGAGTCTGTATATCAAGATGCTCTGCACAAAGCTGGAGTTTCATGTGAAGGTATATGGATCTCCGTCACACATTACTAATGCAACTAAACCTTTTTTTTTTTTTTTTTTTGTGATTGCTCTGACTAAACCTACAACTGTGCAACTCCACAGCATTCAGAAATCCCCCCGAACCTGGAGGTGAAGGATGAAGTGTTGGAACGCACTGCAGGGACAGATATTAATAATGTGTGAGTTTCAAAATGGTTCACCTCTGATGCATCTTATCCAGTCCGAGTTTCACTATGCCTTAGCGGGGCCTCCTTTCTCTGTGACAAAGATATTACTTTCTGTCCCGCAGGTTCCAGCTCACAGTGGAGGTGTTCGATTACATGGACGCAGAACTCAAGGTGGCTGAGACAGGTGAAAACAAAAACTCCTCCTACCTCTTTTTTTTTTTTCTCCCTATGCTGCTTTCTCAGGCAGGGGAAACCTGAGCTGCGGCCGACAAATGCTGCCTACAACCCTGCTCTATTTATGCACAACTAATAAACTTAATGCAAAAACATTACTGTATAAAGTTGATGGGCTGCATGTCTTAGATTGGGTAAAACTCGACGCAAAACGTGACTGAGGGACTCTGTTTAGCTTGGAATCCTGCTTGCTTGTGTTTGTTGTTTCACTAATGAGGAAATGCCTCCACTTGGAGCTCATTAAAATGATTTCCTCCTGTTTAGCAGTAATGACATGTTCTTCCAGGCCTGCAGGGTGGAGGCCCCGTATGACAACACAAGAAACGAACTGAGCAACAGTGGTTTGGATACCATGTGGATTAAAAATCTTAAGTGTTTTCATGGTTCAAAAAGTCATGTGAGCTGTTTAAGTAAAGGGAGGTGCAGTCAGCGGTTGGAGGCAACACAACCGTTTAGCTAAAGTATGGGAGTCTCTGAGTGCCAACATTCAATAGAAAAAACAAAAATATCTTTAAATGTGTAGTTTAAAATATTTAATCTTCATTTAAAGATTCTGAATTTAACACGGATATTAACAAGACATTTTTTTTAAAGGTGAGATCTGAAGTTTTTTTCTTTCAATTCAGAGATGAGACCCTAGCCTCTAAAAAGATCTAAAAAAAACAGTCTAATTAAATCCACAACTTCTAGGTATTGTTGAAACACACATAGAGGCTTGAAAACATCACAGATAGGTTAATGTCAGATTTCAGACAGATTCAGATTGATCTAAAGTCATCTAATACAGAGTCATACAGAAAGATATTTATGTGCTTATTAATTTGGACCTACTGCTAACGCGAACAGATTATTAGGAGCCATTATTATCCCATAACCCACCAGTGTTACTGCCTAACACATCCTTTCTCACTGAAGCAGCAGTTTGCATCTGACACATCATCCTCCCTTTACTCTTCATTATGTTAGATAAAAACTCAAGTTAAAGATCAGAAGTTCTAGTCGAATCTCCCACGAGCCTAATCGGTGGTATACACTGCGTGTGTTTGAGGCCTGATGTAAGAAGGCGATTGTTGGGAAATCGTGGAGAAATCTCCAAATATGCATCTCACGTGGGAAAACCGGTTCGAGGACGGCCGTTGTTGGCCTCTTGTGACCCAAAGATAACTTGTGATAAATATCTAACACCATCAGATATTTAGAATGACTAACGTTGTGACAGCTGCTGTGACCTAAAATGAGCCTTTAGAAACGCATTGATCATCTCACATTGTCATTCTAGATCTAACGGTACACATCATTTTTTCTTTTTTTTTCTATGAGATGTGTGAATACAGCTAATCATTTTTTATGTTACCAGATGAGAAAACAATCTTTACCTCCCACTCATTAAAACTGATGGCCTTTTTTAACCCAGCAACAATGCACATTTTGATGCTTTTAAATGCTGGACCAACAAAGATGTTTCTTTATAGAAGAGAATTCATGGAATAATCCTGATATTGTCTGCTTGTCCCTGGCAGCAGAGATGGTTTGTGCAAGCTGATGAAGTTCTTTATTGCTGAACATCGTAACCAGTTTAGGAGTAAAGTTATTATACAATGTGCACACTTAACATTTAACATTATACCAGAGTTCATTATATCTATGTGGTCATGGAATACTCTTAAGTTGCTAAAATTTCAGTGAATAAAGCCTGAATCTTTCTATAGTGATTTTTACATTAGTTCTGCCCTCTGTATGCAGAATCCTGCTTCCAAACAATGCTTCAGATTCTTTACTTAAAGTTAAAAACAAAATCCTAAAGTTAAATTATTAGGAAAAAATGTGATACTTTTTTATTATATTTCACAGATATGCCATAATGCATAAAAGTGGGCTCAATTATAAAATGGTTACATGTGTAAAAACTGGTTGTTTACATAAGTGATCCTTTAACATGGTTCACATATATGTTCTTGTTTTCTCCTGCAGTGTTGCGTCAGCTGAACTCTTCCATCGCCGTCACCAGCCTCACATCGGGCCAGTGTCGCCTGGCTCCGCTCATCCAGGTGGTCCAGGACTGCAGCCAGCTCTACCACTTTAACGTTAAGCTACTCTTCAAGCTTCATGCCTGTAAGAACACCTAGTGCTGGAAAAAGTCCAGTCCCTGTTTGTTACTGTATCACAGTTATTATGCATTTGTGGCTAAAAGTACATAATAATCCCAGGTCTGCCTCCTGATACCTTACAAGGACACCGTGACCGGTTCCGTGAGCAGTTTAACAGGTCAGTGAACGCATCAAAGCTTTTTAGATTGTCTGCAGCATAAAATGGCTCCACGGCACTTTAAGCCTGAATACACCCTGAACTATCTCTCATGTAACAATCACAAAGTTTATTCTATATTCATGGGATTTTATGTAAAAAAGCAACTATTAATGTTGAAGGGGAATGAAACATAGTTTCATTAAAATCTGAAACGTTAGTTTTGCACTTGTATTTAGCCACCATTTGTTTTCAAAATCAGTTTTTAATAAACCTATCATTTTCCTTCCCCAACCCAATTATTAAGACTGTGTGGTCACATTACACTTCACAAATGTAAAAGAAAATTATGTATATTGTTGTTTAACCTCTTCTATTCTCTATAGTCTACACATTAGCAGTTTTTGCAGATTTGATTGTTTTACTAGGTGTTTAGCGTTTACCACATACAACAAAATGAAAGCCTAATATGGAAATTCTGATGGAGGGAGAAGACTTTGTTTAATATGCACTATTTTCTTTTTGTTTGCACAGCCTGAAAACCTTCTTCAATAGAGCCAGAGAGATGGTGTATTTCAAGAGGCTGATCCAGATTCCCAGGCTGCCTGATGTAAGAAAAACAATAACTGCTGTGTCACACTCCCATTTTGGTTTCTTCATAACAAATCCCCTAGTGGTTCTGTGTTGCTAACAGGATTGTTATTTAAGCCGGAGTTATGCTGAAATCTGTCCAACAAATGTTGATTGTATCCATTTTCTTCCAGTCTCCACCTAATTTCCTGCATGCAGCAGCTCTGGCCAAACATGTGAAACCGGTGGTTGTCATCCCTGATGATGATGACCAACAGGACGATGATGACGACGACCCAGAGCCGCTCATCGAGGTCAGCGATACCCCAACGCCCAGCCTGCAGTCTCAGCCACAGGTACGTTTCAATAATCACAGGTGTACAGATGTGTACAGATGTGTACAGTGTCTTACCTGCTGCCTTTTTGGTGTTTTATTATGCAGGTTGACATATTTGATCAGGCATTTGGACCTCCAAATGGAGGCTTCGATGAAAGGTGAGCATTTAACTGTTGCACTGATTTTAAGGGTTTTAAGTATCAGCACATTGTGACTGTTAAGGGTTTCTGTGTGGCAGGGATCTGCAGATTGAAAGCCTGAAGTCAGAACTTGAGCTACTAAGGGCAGAGCTGGAGAAAGTGAAAACAGAGGTGAGGACTCTTGAGCAGCCTGATGCGTTAGTGTCAGAATTTTGTACATACTTATGACTGTTAGGAGGCATTATTATCTACGTGCAAAGGAATCTGGATCATGTGTTTTGCTGGATGTAACTGCCAAATGCCACTCCTGATCTAAAGAATGTGGCAAGTCGCCTCTAAATGTCAGCTGAGTGAAGTCTTATTGGCTCACCTGTTAATGTGTAAATATTGACTCTCTTTATATTAATGTGCCTTGTAAAAGTATTCATTACCCTTCAACATCTCAACATTTTGTTGCAATACTGCTAAAAATCTTGTGTGTTTTCAGTAGAGATTTTGAAAGATAGGCTAATGCAAAATCAATGACAGTTTTAATATACATTGTTTTAAATGTTTGCAAAGTGTGGCATGCATTGTGTTCAGCATATTTTTCTTTTTTCCCCCTTGATTTAAAAAACAAAACAAAAAAAAAACATCAAGAACACAGGAAACGGGTTAGAAATAAAAACATAGATGAGTTTTAAGTTTGGAAAATATAAAAAACAATGTCTCAGTCTTTAAATATCTTAAAGAGCACTGCTTAATCAATCCTCAGAAAATGGACAAAGAATGGCATAAGTCCAACATATGGCCTTCCACCTTAACTAACAAAACAGACAAGAAGGGCTTTAGCCAGATAAGCTGCCAGAAAGATTGGAGAATCTGTTGACATGACATTTATAAAACAGGCCTTTATGAAATAGTGCCATTAAAAAGACCCAGTGAGGGGAATATCTGTTAAAGGGACTCATTTGCAGGTGAAACAAGCCATGTTGGCGACGCAGGGAGCATGTGGAAATTTATGTGGTCAGAGATCAAAGTTTTCTTAAATGCAAAATGCTATGTGTGATAAACTCTAGCTCTGCACATCCCAATGAACGCTGCAATCTCACTATAAAATAAAGTCGTGGCTACGTTATGCTGTGGGAAGGCTTGTTTTCTGCAGGGCAGGGAAACTGATTAAAGTCAAAGTCCAGACCTAAATCCACAAGTAAATCTGTAGGCTGAATTATGTAATATTGACTTTTGAAAAGGCGTTACTTCAGGCTGCTTTGAACAGAAGAATACATTTCTAGAAGTACCACAAAACTTTAAAGGAAACATCTTAATTTTTAATTTCTGCAACTCTTAAAAAAAAAATCCTCAATTATGTTTGATTGTTTGTGTCTGTCGGTTAAATCAACCTAAAATAGGTTGTGGTTTGTCACTGAAATGGGACCAAATGTTCCAGTGTGTGCAGATACTTTTGCAAGGCTCTGGCTTTAAGTTTATCTAAAATCTATTTCTCTGTTTTGGACCTGAAGGCCCAGCGCTATGTCACGCAGCTCAAGTCCCAAATCAACAGTTTGGAGGCTGAGCTGGAAGAGCAGCGCATGCAGAAACAGCGTGCACTGGTGGAAAACGAGCAGTTGCGCATGGAGCTGGAGGTAACCCGCCGCCGGAACGCGGAGCAGGAGAGCTTGCAGAGCACCTTTATCGAGGCAGAGAGTAAGATGTGTTTGGAAACATTTGTTCAGAAAATACTGCTGGAACAAGCAAAATTAATCACTCTAATCATCTCTGTTTGCGAAGAGAAAGCACAGGCCACCGAGCAGCGATACAATAAACTAAAAGAGAAACACACGGAGCTGGTGGCCAGCCATGCTGAACTGCTCCGCAAGGTACATACACCAGAGCAGCTTTTAATCGCATGTCACCACCTGGTATTGTGCTTTAAATCTGTGTGTGCTAATGTGCTAACAGAGTGCAGACACTGTGAGGATGCTGTCAGCCACCCAGCAGACTCAGGAGGAAGTGGAGAGGACAAAGCAGCAGCTGAGTTTTGAGGTGGAACGGGTCAAACAGGAGGCAGATATGAAGGTTTGTGTTATTTTTGTTTTTATGGGATGAAATTGAATGTTTGAGTGAGATTATAGTTAACGCTGGTGTCCTTGTAGATGGAAGAGCAGAAATTTGAGATGGAGCGACTAAGGAGGGAGCTTGAAGAAAAGATGGCAGAGGTGAATCGGGTCAAGGCGACTCTGCAGAGCAGCGAGATGGTGAGAGTTCCTCTGCAGTACCTTCTCCGATGTCCTGCTATTTCAGCTCCATTTTAGTTATCATCACTTCTACTTGCAGGATGCAAGACTTTACAGATGGATTTTTTTCCTTGTTTGCTCTTTTCTGGTTGTGCTTATCCCACTCTTTCTTCTTTTTTCTTTTTTTTCTTTCCAGACTTCGTTGGAAAGGAACAGCAACTTGACGGCTCTGCAGGCGGAGAAGGAGCGTCTAATGCGTTCTGTGAAAGAGAAGGAGGCAGAGCTGTCGTCTCTGCGGCAGGAGTCGCAGCTGCAGCAGTCCTCGCTTCAGCAGGAAAGGGAGAAGAGCAGCAGGGAGCTGGGAGAGCTGCAGAGCAAGCTGAGAGAGAAGGTCAGTTAGGAGACAGAGGGCCCACTCATTTTAACCTCATTATGAAATGAATACATGGCCTTTCATAGGTTACATTAATTGGAACTGTGTGACTAATATTAATCTGTTATCTGAATGATGCACAGTTAGTTTTCTTGTTTATGATCAAATTTTTACCAACATATTTTTGTATTTTACCCTCATGGTCCAAATAACCATCAGAAGAAACAAAAGAGAACTAAAATAATTACTATTCCCTGTTCAGACCTATCATTACCGTATATCCTTGTTTTTTTTTTACCACTTTAAGCAGGACTGATAACACTTGTTTTCACTTAAACTAATAAACTTGTCCATATTATCAACAAAATATATGAAATTCTTCAAGTCAGATTTTTTTTCATATTAATTTAAAACAGTATTTTGAAAATTAAAAGCTTCATTTTAAACCTAAGAAAATAAACATTATGTATAAAATATGTTGTGTTTTAAACTACTAGCTTTGAGCTTGAAGGCTCTGAACATTTTAAATATGATAAGCGTTGTTGGTCACAGATTTTTATCTGAGACGCACTCAGTCAGCTGCGTAGCTGCACCTACCACGTCAGCAAGAATAACAAAACTCTATCACAGGCTGTGCAGGTTTGATAATCTGACCAAACTCTTTTTACCCAGAAAGTATTTTAGTCCTTTTTTTACTCTGAGCAGACATCTGCTGTCCCCTGATATCTCCAAACAGCTTATTTGCATGGGAGAAAGAGCTGTGTAGTTTTAGTTTTTTAAAGTAAAATAATATATTTGGATTTCCCCCCCACACACAAATGTATGTAAAAACACTTGAGACCAACTATCAACAATATATGAAAAAATAATGGAAATATGCTGGTTTTAGCCTAGCACCTTCGCAAACTCCTCTAAGCACTAACCCTTAACTATCAAGTGTCACTCACATTAAAGTCACACTCAGCTGTAGAAGCCACCTGGATATTATGAGGGGAGTATAAATGCGAATGGGACGGCCTCTTCCTTCTAACGGAAAGGGAAAGCAGTTGTTCATATTGCAACACAGTGATGACGCTTGTGCATGCCTGTTGCTCTGTGGCGCAGGTTCACATTATATGAAACGTTTGCCACTTTCTTTTACCGGTAAATAAATCCATCCAGTCAAATAAAACTAGTTTTAGGAGGACCTTCCATTTAGGGGTTAATGACTTTCTTTTTCCTAATTAGGGATTTTCTGTCAGTGTGATGAAGATGCAGCAAACCAGCAGTACTTAGCATTTCGATGGATGTTTTTCCTCCGCCTCTAGTTTGCTGTTACACCTACTGCTTAGTTCCAGTAAGCCTTCACTGATGCAGACTTTCTATTTAAGGGCCGAATGGTCCACTTGCTCTTTCATAAATGGCACTTCAAGTGGCAGACCCTCCACGGGGACACTCAATTAATTTGGGATTGGGCCTGTAGGTGCATGTGACGAGTCGGTTAGTTTACTTAAAGTTCATGGCTGTCCTGTGGGGGTTTTTTTGTTTGTTTTTGTAAAGCAACAAATACTATACCATATAGAATTTCCTTGATAAGTGTAATGCTGAAAAAGCCTTGCCTTATTGGGTTGTTTAAGATGGCAGCTATTCTTTTAATAAAGCTTTAGGTTTAACTCTACAAACTTGACTTAATTGATACTTGAGTACCGAAGTTATTATTATCTTTAGAATATTCCTAAAGACAGCCGTTTTAATTGTAACAGATCTCCCTTTGTGATGCAAAGCCATTAAAAAAGACAGAGTTGCTTGAAGGAAGTCATATTAGTTGGTTATCCCTTAATGTGTCTGAGGATTGCATTCTGGCAAATAAATGAATGCAGATCCAATTGTTTCACACCATTTCTGACAGTGGTCTAAGCTAAGCCATCTTCAGCTAGTATAAAACAGTATAGATTAAAATTCTAAATTTCTTTATAAGCAGATATAGTTTAAAAATATTCTCTTTTAAAAAAAGAAGTCTGGGATCAAAAAAAGAACAGTTGTAAAAGGAGTGTAAAAAAAAAATACATGTTTCAAATGTAAAGGGCTTGTTTAAAATGAGTTCTACCTTGATCCTGTCAAGCATGATTTTAATTGTTGAATTGCATAGAATCATATTCAAAGAATGTTACAGAGCTCTGGTGATAAGCTCTAAGCCCCTCATCACCCTAAGGTGGTTAGTATTTTTTTTTCTAAACAATCTTATCAAAAGCATCGGCTGGTTCTGTTTATGCTGGTCTATTCAGGAGTCTCTAACCTGAGGATATAGTATGCAAAACTACTACAGGAGCTATTATAGAAAACCAATATAATTGTTATATATGCTGTGTTTTGTTTGTTTTTTGTGCTATGTGTAGACCAGTGTGGAGGAGCAGATGAAGAAGAAGCTTTTGGAGGAGCAGTTTGCAATTCTTCAAGGCACTATAACAGAAGCTGAGAATATCATTCAAGATGCTGTTGCCAAGCTGGATGATCCTCTGCACATACGCTGCACCAGCTCTCCAGGTCCGATTGTTGTCCACATAATGCTGAATTTGAGAATAACTACATCTGGAGTTAAATGTACTGGATATCAGCAAACAGCACTGCAAGAATGAAGGTTTATCATTTTATTTTTTCTTCTCCACTCAGATTATCTCATAAATCGGGCAGAGGCCACACTGAGCTCCATAGACAAAATGAAAAAGGGACACACAGATTATCTGCGTAACATGGAGGGTGCGTTCCTTTGTTTAATGACACACTACATGGTTGGTTTATGATGTTATCTAATGTTCCAATTTGTTCCCTTAATTTATGCTTTCGTAATCAGACGCCGGCGGACTGCTGAGGTCTCTGACCCAGTTCTCCCACTTGGCTGCGGACACTATCGTTAATGGCAGCGCAACTGCACACCTGGCACCCATTGACCAAGCAGATCGTAAGGAACTTTCTTCGCACACTTTTCCCTTTTTAACTACTGCATGCATCCCAGCATTTATCGACTTAATAAAGCCAAAACACTCTACCTTCTTGCTTTTGTTGTCTTGGCAGAAGCACTTTTCTTAAAAAGAGTTCAAAGTCTTTAAATGGAAAAGCTTTTCAGAAATGTTTGTGACGGATTAACATTGCACTTTGATGTGTGGCAGGACTGACTGAGAACTGCAGAGGCGCTGCCACTCAGAGCCTGCAGTATCTAAAGGATCTGAAATCGAAGAGCAGTCTGCAGAGAGCTGATCCGGCTTCTATTCGAGTCATCGTGCAGAAGATCCTGCACCTGGGTCAGGTGAGGAGAATCTGCAGGATCTCTGCAGAGATGCTGTGTATCGCAGACTACTCATAAACAGTTTCAGGATTACAATGCTTAGATAATAGATTGTAATATTTTTAACCAATTATGGCAACTGTAGAAATATTAAAGTTAAAAAATGTATATTACATCAATACTTTACGCTAATGTAATAAATTATTCCCCCATTTTATGATAGACCAATCCAGAGAAGTGCATTATAACAGATGAAAAAAATTTTTTGCAAGTAGAAATCTGAAAACCTTATATACATTCTTCTTGTTTTAATACCACAGAAAAATATTTTTTTATCAGTCAAATGCCTTGAGAAGTCATCCTATGTGGGAATGATGCCCACCTTGTGAATTTGCAAAGAGATCAGGTTGTATGAGAATAGTTTGGCTAAGCAGTCTGAGGAAACAGTTTATGTTGAATCTCAAATGCTTTTGATATAAGTTAACCACATTACACAAATAGAAATCAAATCAGCAAATATTATATGTCTGATACCATCAATTTCCTTTCCAAACAGATACTGACTAAAATACATACTGGTATATGGAATACAAATCTAACACTGATCATTTGTGCAAACACACCTAATGTGTCTGGTAAGCGTAAAAAAAAACTCTAGCTGATTATGTTAGTGTCTCCAATCAAAATATTAAATAATTTATAAATTATTGCACTAAATTGTCATTACTGATATTAATAATTTGACTCAAATATTTATAGCAAAGTGGATTGATTGTAAATAATTTTATAAGTTAACATAAAACACTTTCAATGATTAATCATATTTGTATCTAGCCATTCAGCCTGTAAAACATAAGCACAGTAATCAGACCAGCTGACAGCTTTGCTAAGGCCCAGGACAATGTAGTCTTTTCTTGGCAAGCTGATGCTCTATAGACAGCATTGCCAGGCCATTAAACCTTTACTGGGACATACTAGAGCCCAGATATTTTTTTATTATCTTCATTTTACTGATGGCCTGCTTACTCCAGCCAGTCACAGGTAGAGATAGCAAAATATGTAGCAGGTGTTTCCATTTCCAATAACAATGTTTGTTTGCAGTTTCTTTCATGCCCTGGAAATCTTTCATAAAACTTTCTGTATATTATGTTAGATATTTTCATCCCATCTTTTGAATTTAGTGCATTCGTTGATCCTTTCCCTACTTCATAACAGAACAGCAAGCACAGCAGGCAAAATATTCTTTATATTAGAAAGTATGTGCTATGAAAATTCTCTGAATCTGCTGACAGTTCATTTGCCATCTCTAAGAAAGACTTCCTTTTTGCCATTAAACGCACAACACTCACTCAATCAAAATCAGTCATTTTTGTTGGCCACAGCGCAGGATCCTTGAAATTAATGGCGTGATCCGTCTCTGAGACACTATGCTCAGACTCTCCTATCGGGCAGCACGCTCCCCCTTCCCCCTAAGCTGCAACATGAGAACTGCTTTGCTCTCCTCTTCTCCACTCTCCACTCTGTTTTTCATCCTGCACCTGGACCTGTGCCTTCTTTCTACTCTTTTGGTGCTAAGCTCAAGTATTTCTGTAAAAGAAAAAGTGTTTTTCTCCCTTAACTAGCTGGACCTGTTCCTGACTCATCCTCATTTTGTTTTTAATATTGACTCCTAAAATACCTCAAGCCTTTGGTGTCATATTCCCTTTTTTCTGTTTTTTCATGTGCACCAGCCTTCGGAAACCCTGTATTTTTAATGGTCAGAGTGTAAATTTCAGGCCCCCACTCTGTCCTGGGACAATTGACACCTTTGTCCCCCCCCTGTCAGCGGGTGTTCCAGCAATACATGTTACTCCAAGCTGAACTCATGCAGCTATTTGCTGAAGCACAGTTTGCTTTTTGAACCTTTTTATAACCACTTTTAATAATGTGATCCAATCCACCAGAGAAATTGCTTAGTGCAGTTTAAAGCTGTACATTTTCTCCCCTGTGTTGCACTTGCTTGAAGCACAGAGAGAGACGTCTGTCTTGACCCACTAGCAGCAGCAACTGACGGCGCTCCCCTCTTCCGACAACCTCATCATGAACGCTACACATCCTGTGTTGTGGTTTAACCTCAGGTGTTTCCTGAGGTTGTTATGTTGCTGCAACCTCTTACCTTTTTTCTAACAAATATCCACTGCAAAAAATACAAATCTAAATAAGTCGTTTTATCTTAAAATTAATGCATTTTTTCTTGCATTGAGGAGGTGAGAAACTTTGCCAATGGAACAAGACAATGTACATTTAAAATAAGAAACAATTGCACATTCAAGTGCAAATTATCTAGTTATCTTATTTTAAGAGTGAAAAATATAATTCCGTTGGCAGATCACCTTATTAACCTACCGGTACTCAAATTAAAGGTAAGTACACTTAATATAAGACATTTACTTTATTTCTAGATAGTTTTTGCAGAGCAGGTCGTGTCTTGATTGCGCTGAAATAATTATTCTCCTGTTTAACTGCATCTACCCAGTGACAGAGCATCCCATATCCATACTGACATATTTACAAAGCAGAAGTAGATCCCATCAAGTGCATCCATTTAGGCAATTGTCTTGTTGTTTGCAACACCTCTGACTGTGGTAGTGAAAATATCAATATATGGATTTGAGAATCGACTTCAGATCCTAAAATTCTGTTATCTTAGATTATTTATATTTTAGTATCCATCAACACATCCCCATAAGATTCAGGATCCTTTGCATTACAGTGCATCACTATCCCTTTTTTTTCCTATCTGAATCTGGACTGAAACTGTTTTGTTGCCTTTTTCATATAGGAGCTGCGACCGAAAGGAATGGACATCCGTAAGGAGGAGCTGGGAGATATGGTTGATAAGGAAATGGCAGCAACCTCAGCATCTATTGAGGAGGCTGTACGCAGGATTGACGTAAGTTGTGGTGTACTTATTCAGTATGCTCTTAAAAAAATATAAGGTCTTGACAGTAGCTAAGGATTCTTCCCTATTGCTTTCAATTTAGGAAATGATGAATCAAGCACGAAAAGACACATCAGGAGTAAAACTGGAGGTCAATGAAAGGTTTGTTCTTTTGTTTATCTAAAACAACTGGACACTATCTGTAACACACTGGTTCTTAATAAAGGTGATCTTTTTGTACAGAATTCTCAGCAGCTGCACAGATCTGATGAAGGTAGAGTTTATACACACGGCGCTCAAAGCTGTCTTTCACTGTGATCCCCGTGAACATATTTGTATTTCCTGCTCATTTTCACACACCCTCTCCTTCAGGCCATTCGCATGCTGGTCATAGCGTCCACAGACCTGCAGAAGGAGATCGTTGAGAGTGGGAGGGTGAGTCATCGTTTTGTAAACTCAAGCAGACTGCTTATTTGTTTCTGAATATGAAGCAGGTTGAGTTGCTTCATTCAGAAATTTGCTCTAAATGAACATTCTTGTTCTTAAAGGGTGCTGCAAGCATTGGGGAGTTCTACGCCAGAAACTCTCGCTGGACCGAGGGACTCATCTCTGCTGCCAAGGCTGTGGGATGGGGAGCCACTGAGTTGGTGTGAGTTCCTCTTGACGCTTTCCCCTCTTGTTTCAAATTCTGGGAGCATAAAAGTGATTTAAGGCGTGTTCTAATTCAATGTTTCTAACTGTAGAGAGTCGGCTGATAAGGTGGTACTGCACACGGGGAAATATGAGGAGCTGATAGTCTGCTCTCATGAGATCGCTGCGAGTACAGCACAGCTGGTAGCAGCCTCAAAGGTAATCCTCTGTAACATGCTGGGTAACATGTGACTGTATGTATGAAAAAATGGTTTTCAATAGAACCAGTGGAGTGTAGCTGGAGGTTGCTGAATAGTGATAGTGACGATAAACTCGGCAATCAGTGCATAACTAATTTGTTAGAAGAAGTATCTAAAATCTGAGTTCCTAAAGTAAAATATATAGTTTCTAGTAACCTGGATACCTAAGAAACCTGCTTTTCTTTTAGAGTAAGCCCTGTTCTTTTATTCACAGCAGTGGTGAAGCACCACTGGGACAACTTTAAAGTTCCCATATTATTCTACATTTAAAAATGAAAAAGAATATTAACAAGAAGGCCCCCAGAGTTTTCATTTGTAAAAGAGGAACTGCAAGAATGTAAAAATATAGTAGTTGTGGCTTCCGATGCTATTCAGATAGTTACAGTGATTAGGTGTTGCTTTGCCCAATCAGCTTGATAGGTTCTACTTAATGTTCTTCTATTTCCCCAAAGAGATTTGATGGGAGCAGTCACAGATTAATAAGATGTAGTCGTTAAGCTGTAAACCTGTGCTGCACATTATTGATCTCGCTTCCCAGATTAGAGGAATCCTTGAGCTCACCCAGTAATTACTCTTTTGAAACTTTTGTTGCTCAGTCTAAATTGACCAGAAGTCTTTTTTTTTTTGTTATATAAAAAAAAATGGTACCAAATTTGTTGAATTCGTGTTTATACATTTGTCCTCAGTCTAGTTCTCCAGATATCCAGCATTTGGTACTTTCTGTGTCTGAAGCCCAAATGTTTTCTTTGAGGCTGTTCTAATCCTATGGATCTCCTCCTGTGCCATCAGGTTAAGGCTGACCGCAGCAGTAAGAGGCTGGGCGTTCTCCAGCAGGCCTCTCGTCATGTCAATGAGATGGCAGCTAATGTGGTGGCCTCTACAAAGACGGGTCAGGGAAATCTGGAAGAAAAAGGTAGGTGCTAAACTTTATTAAAGGTATAGTGGAGGATGTTCTTTTAACAGGATGGATCATCAAAATAAGTGGTCCTGCTAATTGCCAATCATTCTTTTGATATGTTTACGTAAGGCCGTCCTACGAGCTCCTCCCCATTTCCACTTACGGGTGGTGATAGTGGAAAAATTGCTAATTTTCTGAGCTTGTATGAGCGATGCAATCTGCAACTTTTAAACGGCATGCACAAGAAGAAATTGGCTCTGCATGCTCTCACACGCATTTAATAGGCGTTCCCTCTCGGGAGCGGGTACAGAGTTGTGCATGTGCAATTTTTTATTTTTTTTTTAAGTGGAGAGGGTGGGTCTTTTCAAAATAATTGCGAAAATCCTCCACTATACCTTTAAGTTTAGCAGAAGCTGTGGTGGACCTTTTAACTCTTGGTTTCCTTTAAACAGAGTCCATGGACTTCTCTGGGATGTCTCTCATCAAGTTGAAAAAAGAGGAAATGGAGTCACAGGTAAGTTGTTGCTTCTCATGAGACGTTGTTCTGTAAACTATTCTAAGATGAATTTGTTTGAAAAGTCTAGGTAGTTGTTTTAAGGGATTTTTTTGGACATGAAGCAAAATTATTGATACAATTAAATAAAAAAAAACTTTTTTTTCCCTTCTTTTAAATAGATAAGGATCTCAAACAATGTTTTAAAAAAAAATTTCTTCTGCTAATCAGGTCAAAGTGCTGGAACTGGAGAGTCAGCTAGACAACGAGCGTCTGCGGCTGGGTGAGCTCAGGAAGAAACACTACAACCTGGCCGGAGTTCCTCTGGACCCGGTTTCCGAGCAGAACGGTGACAGCCCATCGCTGGATAATACTCCTCGTTCTCTCACCGCGTCCCCGAAACCCAGCAAGCCCCCGCTCGGAAGGAAACCCACACTCACTCAAAAACCCAGCATACCATCTAAACCTTCGGTTAGTGTGATTTAAAAAAAAAAACCCATCAAAATAAGAAAAAAAGCAAACATGACTGGTAACGACATATTTCTTCTTTCTCATGTTGCAGTTCAAGTAAATGCAGAAGATGGGAATGCTTCACTGCACAATGACTGGATAGAGAAGAGAAGCAGAAAGCCCTTTTTTGTGAATATGCAGCTCTTTTTAGTTGCATACAGAAAGTAGGGTGTCAACCTTCTTCTTGTCAATTTTCTTTAATTCCATTCCTTTTTCCTTATTTGTTTGCCATAATGACCCAAAAGCCTTTTTTTTTTTTTTTACTCTTAATGCATGTAGGGAATTCTGTGTATCCCCATTCTTCCTTATATTTTTAATGTTTGATATTAAAAACATTTTATTGTAGGCATTTTTTAAATTATTTTCTGTATCATAAACAGTTTGAAAATTGCACCAACTGCTCCTTTTTTTTTTCTAGAATGTAAACTTCAATCTAGCGCACAAATCAGCAGCATATCTTGTAGACGAAGAGCCAGATTTGATCATGTTTATGGCAGCCTTATTGCACACTCTCAGATCACATTGTTTTCTTGTTATTCTCTGTTTGGTATTATTTATCTTTTGATGTTGGTTGATGGCGGTTTGGGAATCACTTGGTGTGTTCATGTTGTTGCAGAAGTCTAACATACCTCTAGCTTTGCCTTGATGTTTAAATTTGCAGGTTTTTTGTTGTTTCTTAACTGGACAAGTTTGTACCAGATGCCTTTGAATAATACTTTATAAATGCATTCAATATTGCCTGTAAAGATATGCAGTCTGTACAGGAGACCTCTACTTACACACTACACTTACTGTATCTCATGAATGTCCCTTTACAAGAGGAGGATGGAGATATAATAGATAAACCTAAGGGTTGCACATATCAGCTGTAGGTGTCCTTATTAAACGCTTCTTCAATGCTGAATATCTATATTTAGTTGAGTGTCTTTTGAATTTAGGAGCGTTTCCTACAAGGTTTTAAAACAGTTTTTTTTTTTTTTTTTGGTCCCTACTTAGTCTTTTTACTCTCAGATCTATTAATATATATTTTAGTAAAGATGCTGGTGTTTTTTTTTTTTTTCTTGTAAGAAGTTTAAATGTCATGAACACACAATAAATGATCAATTTGATTACGTTTTTGTGTTTATTACAAAATTGCACTTCACAAACTTTTGGTTTTTGGTGAATATTTTTAGCAGAACAGTAAGCTTAAAAATACTCAAATGTAAACATATGTTCAGTTATATTTTTTTAGTGGCATATTAATTACTCTAATATCTGTTGCGATATAGAACATTTAGTTATTTATCTCCAACATGCATGATCACATGAATCGAAATTGTCATTTTAAAATGCAGATGATTTTCAGTAAATTATTCCCTTAATTCAGTTAATTTTAAAATTCTCTTATAGAGAATTATTAAATGAAAGTTATATATTTTTATAGAATTATTTCTGTTTATGATGTTAATAATCTCTTAGACTTAGACTCAACTTTACTTATCCCTTGGGATTACTCCTTCAGGGAAATTCTGGTTCCAGTAGCTCATATAGAATACAAAAGGCAGAGTTAAAGCAACATGCCATTAAAAATAAAAATACGACAATATAAAAAGAGTGCATATAATACAAAAGAGCATAAGAAAAGTTTTATTGTCCTCGAATATGTTTCCTTTAGAAACAAAAATATCTGCACAGTAGAGCTAAGGGAAGACTACATAATAGTTGACTTGGATTATCGCACTTGTACTGCAGAAATGTACTGACCATATAGATAATTAAAAACATTACACAGGCTACACAGTAGTTGGCATGTGTTATTGCACAGTTAGAGAAGAATATTGCACATGAGAGACAATAGCTAATATTTTGCACAAGATGTCCGGAGGGGGGGTACATTTTAAGAAACCCAAAGTTTGGTTTAAAAAAATAAAATACTGAAGTGTTTGGGGGTTC